TGCTTCAGTCCACAGGCCGACGCTCTATCCACTGAGCCAAACCTGTTTCGGCAACAACTGCTTCTTGCAAAACAAAATGGGTTGGCCTCAGCATACCAGTGTGATCACACCATGTTAATGTTGATGCTACAGCTATCCATGTGTTGCTGTAAACTAGGCAGTTCTAGCTGGTAGAACATGCTAAAACATCCTTTAAGAATATATTAATTACAGCCTTTATTTATAATTGTAAATATTTTCAAAATCTAAATATCCACTGGTAGAAGGATCCTATATAATAAAAGGATAATATGAAAATCGATCAAAAGGCGGAAAGACCAGTCGCTATGATGCGCACTGACCACCAGGGGGTAGATGCTCAATGCAGGAGCTGCCCCCTGGTGGTCAGTCTGCTCCCACAGGGGGAGCGCTGCTCAGCCTGGGCTGATGGCTGGCGCAGGAGCAGTGCTGAGAGCTGCTGCCACCTCTGCGGCAGTGCTAAGGATGTCCCACTGCCCGCTTAAGCCATCAGTCAGACATCCCCTGAGGGCTCCTGGACTGCAAAAGGTGCAGGCCGTGCTGAGGGACACCCCCTCCTTCCCCTCCCCATGTGCACGAATGTCGTGCACCAGACCTCTAGTACATAAATAAAACGCTGAGCTATGCCAGCCAGGCAAGCTAAACATTTTTAAAATAGGTAAGTAAGTAAGTAAGTAAATAAATAAATAAATAAATAACCAAGCATATATTAGCAGAAACAAAACTAGGGTAAATGTGAAAGAAATGAACCCATATTGAAAGTCTACTAGGTGTCAGATTCTTTGCATAGTATCTTTGTAGTCTGTCTGGGTCAAGAGCAATGCCAACTCGACTGCATGTACTAAGTGAGGAGATTTGTCACAAAGTAGTGGAGAGCATAAGACATCTACCTGCTGGGAACCCTGATGTGTGTTTCAAGAAAAGAACATAGCAGACATTAATGAAGCAGCTTTAATAGGACAAAGGCGAATGAAAAGGAGATTGTGTGTTTAATATATTTAAGTTCTTTTCAAATAAATCTTTTCCAGACTACCTGGATTTAAGTTCATCTCAGACTCCTACTACCTATGTACAAATGCCTTAGCCACTCTGCACCTCAGTTTCCTAATTTGGGAATTCCTAAATTGGGAATAACAATAGTATGTACCTCAGCATTATTATTAGGATTAAATCAGTTAATATTTATAAAATACTTGGAATAATGTCTGGTACATATTTTTGTTAGATAAAATAGTGTTTGTGAAATAAAATAGACATGATAAGTATCATTAGGGTTTGCTTGTGGTATTATAATTTTACCCTCAAGAGGGTAATTAGTTGATTATGCCATATTTTTTATTTTTATCATATGAGGTTTCCTTTCAGAGCATTTTAGCCAGGCCTGTATAAACACTTTGTGAGTGTGTGTGTGTTAGGAAGGGGCAGGGCAAGTTGCAGGAAAGAGGTGTGTAGAGCTAATAGAGGTGGGTCAGTCCAGCAGATTTTTGCATTTCCCTTCTCTGACATCTTTGAGAAACCCATCCTCGTACACAGTCCATTCCCTGTGGCTCTATTTAGATCATCAATCACAGTGTCAGTGCACTCCTTACAGTTTGATACAGACATACCAAGAGAAAGAAGAAGGTCTCTCTGTTCCCTTGAATCCTAAATTATTAAGATAGGACTAGGAGATTGCTAACTGCCATTTTTTCACAATGTGTCAAAAACCTGGCTGAAGACCTCTAGTAGAAACCAAAGCCAAGAGATTAGAAAAAGAAAGAGCTCCTTGATATCATTTGATACCTTGGATCAGACAATATTTGAAGCCTTCTTTGAGAATCTCAATAATATCATCCATAAATTTTTCTTTTGTGTCTATTCCAATCTGAGCTCTGTTTCTACCTTGTGCAACCAAAATACCTCCTAATTCACTTCACCCAGTGTAGAAGATATTTAAAATTCTAAAGGAAGGCTGGGGGTAATAAAAAGTATAGCACCCCTAACAGATTACCAAGACCCAACCCAAGAATCTTTCACCCAAGGTTTCCTTGATCTGGATAAAATTCAGATTTTGTCTTTTTCACATGGGACCTTCTTAGACACTCTGGTCCTCAAAGAGTTTGCACTCACCCCAGGCTACTGTGAGGTGACCTCCCTGCCCAATTAAGCCCTGCCCAGGTCCCTACACCAACATCAGACCACTTGGAAGTGTGGGAGAGGAGAATGGAGCAATCATGGCCCCAGTTGGCAGACTTGAGGGAAACCTTCCCAGCCTCTGTATCTCATCAAACTTCACAGTTTACTAGTTGATTTATGAGAAGAGGTTATTAAAGCATGTAAGAGCCCCTGCTGGAGAGAAAATTATCTGTATAAACAAAGTGTTATTATGGGATTCAGAAAGGCCACATACAGGAAAGGTCATTAAAATAAAACAAACTGGCATATCAATCTCTTCTAAATCACTGAACTCACATGAGAGATGTTAAATATCTTTATATCTCACAGGTTCCTTTTTGATCATTAGTCCTTCTAGCTCAGGAGGGGACATTCTCAGATGCTAAACTGTTGAGTACTTTAAATTAGAGGGAATTTCTAAGACATAAATTGTGAAGTGGGATTTTTTGAAAGGGCTCAATTAGAGATTGCCTAGTAATACAGAGAAGACATTTGAGTCCCTGGAGTGCTATTTTCTCTCCTACAAATGAAAGACTAATTTTTTTCCCTTTGCTTCATTTGACAAGATTTGATGTTTTCCACTCTCTCCTAACGAGAGAAATGGACAACAGTCACACTGTATAACAGTGGTGTACTTCACAAAAATAATTTTAAGGCTTTGGGTTAAGAAAACAAATCTGAGTAGATCAGTTTGTATTAAGAAAAAAATTTTTGAGCTAGGGCCAGATTTCTCCCATGGAAATCATATTAGTAAACAGTTGGTTCCATTAAGATGTTTTACTCAACTTTGGTTCTCTGAGCCAGATTCCTTTGTGGGATTTTTTTCGTGTGTGTGTGTGTGTGTGTGTGTGTGTTGTTGTTGTTGTTGTTTTGTGTTTATTAAAGCTGGGAACAGTGAAACAAAGAAAGGGCTTAAGATGAAAAAACAAAGTCACAGCAATAGGAGTGAGCCTAGACTGGCTGTCTAGACTCAGGAAAGGAAGTCACAGTAAGGGAAATAAGTCACAATGGGCTGCGTGGACTCAGGAAAGAAGAGGCAAAAGGAGGGCCCTTGGAGATAGTTTCAGGGGGTTAGTCTAGGGCAACGTGCTGCTGCTGCCCACTGCTCTCCTGGTTGCAAGTCTCCTGGGAATCTTTATTTATTTTTAATATATTTTCATTGATTTCAGAGAGGAAGGGAGAGGGAAAGAGAGAAACATCAGTGATGTGAATCATTGATCAGCTGCCTCCTGCATGCCTCTTACTGGGGATCAAGCTTGTAACCCAGACAAGTGCCCTTGACCAGAACTGAACCCAGGACCCTTCAGTCTGATACTCTATCCTCCGAGCCAAACCAGCTAGGATAATCCTGGGAACCTTTAGAGCTTAGGAGAAATAAAGCAAAAGTACAGGTCTGAGGGAAAGTGGAAAATGCTCAACATGCTCCCATCCCCTTTGTTCTTAACAAGGAGTTTTGACAGCCCATCTCAGACTACCGATATATATTCTACAAGCATATGAGCAATATACTGTGCCTTTGATTTCCCTTTTGTTCATTCTTTGGACCTTTAATTCTGGAGTTTAAAGACAATAATATTACAGCCCTGACTGGTTTGGCTCAGTGGATAGAGCGTCAGCCTGTGGACTGAAGGGTCCCAGGTTCGATTCCAGTCATGGGCATGTACCTTGGTTGCGGGTACATCCCCAGTGGGGGATGTGCAGGAGGCAGCTAATCGATGTCTCTCTCTTTCATCAATGTTTCTGACTCTCTATCACTCTCCCTTCCTCTTTGTAAAAAAAAAAAATCAATAAAATTAAGAAAAAAATAATATTACACACAAATATTCTCAAAAGTTTTGTTTGCAACATTTAATTTGGTGCAATTAAATGGTGGCATAAAGATATCATGATGGTATTTTAGCCAGGGGCCTTAGTACTACCTGAATTCTTACCTTGGGTACACACTACTTACTGTATAATGTCTTCAAGGGAGGTATTAAATGAAAGAGGCAAAATAGAGGGGACTTAACCCCAAATGCCAAAGCATAACTCAAGCAAACTGGCCTCGATTACATAGAGAGCTCCTATAGCCAATGATGCAGATTTAAATGAGCTAAAAGCCAGTAGGAAGACTATTCTATCTCAACAAGATCCAATCAGTTTGAGTGCTTATCTCTGCAGTTGCAGCTGAATTGGGCATTCTTAGGATATAGTGGAAAACAAGCATCCAAAGACAGGTGGCTGAACTTCTCCCAGTGTAGCCGAACCAGGTCAGTATACCACCCCAAAAGAGGAGAAACAGGTTTTCAACCATGTACAGTGACTCCACCCAAAGGGCCAACTCTAGCCATAATTCCCTTTTTGTAATGAAAAGGAGAAGTTCAAAGACCTCTTCCCCATTCTTAAAAACAAAAATGTGAAAATCTCTCACACCCAGCATTATGTATGTTAACATATGTCTACTTGGCTCATTTAGGAGATCCACTATCTCATGAATTGGTGCTATCTTCTATATAATGCTAGACCTAATTAGTCATACAATGTAATAGGTTTTGACACACAAGAGAACTGAATTATAATATGTACTAGAGTCCCCATAGTTACACTCAAAGTCCTCCAAGTCTATTTTAATGTATTCATGCTGTGGATATCTATAATTTTCTGTCTAGAATCTTTTTATCTTTCTTCTAGTAGTTATATCCCAATTTTCCTCACATTCAGCCCAATGTGCTTCCAGTAGAATTGACTCTACCCTTAACTCCAGAATGGAGTGAATGGCTCAGACCTGGCCAAAGTCCTGCATCCTGATGGCATTACTAATCAAAGCAAAGATGAACCCAGGGACTCACCTAATGCAATCAAAGTAGACAACAGAATGATTTCTGGAAATTCTGGATAAAGATGCTGCTTACTCTTTTTCACTGGCTTTCAACATAGAAGCAGGCAGCTCCAAGAGATGAACAGAGTCGTCTTACAAGCATGAGAAAGGAGCCATTAAAATGTAGACAACACTAAGGTCACATAGCTGAGAAATGTATAGAGAAAAACTGCATTCTAAAGACACTGTTTGGACCCTGAATAAGGCATATCTGAAGCTGGTATGTCCATGAATTGCTTGATTTATAAAATCTAATAAATTATTTTCAATGTTTAAACAAGTTTGAGTTGAGTTTTTATCTTTTGTAGAATAAAAGAATGCCATAAATGATACACATATGCACATTTCAAAAAATTACCCAGAATAAAATAATACTAAAGGATAAAGATAATTCTATAAACTCTCACATAATTGTAAAAATTAGATAAAAATTTTTTTGAGTACTTACTGTGGGCCAGACATTCTAGCAACAAATTCATCAGAGAGGTGTTATTACTTTTCCTCCTTTACATATGAGGAAAGTGCAACATAGAGGTCAGAAAACATGCCCAAGGTCACTTAGTAATAAGTTGGCACTCCAATGATTACCCAGAGCTTATGTGCACACCTGCTGTATTCTACCACTAAGACCTCAAAAGAAGATACTTTTTAACACTCACTAGCTATAAGGTATCTGGGTCATCGTATGGTGTAAAATATCAAAAGGTGAAAATGAAGAGCCTCAAATAAAGATATATCTTTAATCTGCAATATAACTAGAGCCCATGAACAATTTCCATGTTAAGAGAATGGTCTTAAGAATTAGTCTTTTTAGTCATGGGCACAATGGCAGGTGTTTTGGAAATGACAGGTGGGAAAGAGGTGGAAATTAGGATGTGGGGGTACAAAAGCTAAGGTTTCAATTTCCAGTTGACTTCACAATCTTAGGTCCCCTCTTAGAGGGTGGTTCAGGCAGCAGTGTGTTCCAGCAGGGCCAGCAGTGATAGTCAAAAGCAGTCAGATACAATACCGGTACTGGAAACCTGAGTAATCAGTTCATGACTAGCAGGCTCTCAGTCCCTGTTATGGGCTAAATTGTGTTCCCTAGAAAAAGTATACATTGAAGCCCTAACCCCAGTACCCCAGAAATGAATTGCATTTGGACATAGGACCTTTACCAGGTAATTAAGCTAAAATGAAGCTGTTATGGTAGATTCTAATCCAATTTGATTATACTAAGAGGAGATTACAACACAGAGCGATATCAAGGACACACACACAGTAAAGGACCATGTGAGGACATAGCAAGAAGATAGCTGCCTACAAGCCAAGGAGAAAGACCTGAAAAAAGCAAACATGTGACACCTTTATTTTGGATGTCTAGTTTCCAAAACTGTAAGAAAATGGATTTCTGTTGTTTAACCCACCCAGTCTGTGGTATCTATACTAGTCAATACTAGTAATAATAAAAGTGTAATAGGCAAATTGACTGAGTGGCCGGTCCGGACAACTTTCCAGAGGAAGCAGGGCTGCGAAGGCCTACTCTTGCACGCATTTTGTTCATTGGGCCTCTAGTTTTGATATGAAAGCCTTAGCAAATTGAAGCAGTCTCTGAGAGTTCAAGCTAAAAGATACAGTCAGGGCCACCCAACGAATGGTTGCTCTAAATCAACCTGGGTAGAGTTTACTAAAAGGTAGGCAAGTGCCATAGTTCCCAACCAAATGGAGAACTGGAATACTGAAATGAATGCCTAGGGCAGTGATGGCGAACCTATGACACGCGTGTCAGAGGTGACACGTGAACTCATTTTTTTGGTTGATTTTTCTTTGTGAAATGGCATTTAAATATATAAAATAAATATCAAAAGTATAAGCCTTTGTTTTACTATGGCTGCAAATATCAAAAAATTTCTATATGTGACATGGCACCAGAGTTAAGTTAGGGTTTTTCAAAATGCTGACACACCAAGCTCAAAAGGTTTGCCATCACTGGCCTAGGGAAAGCAAAATTATAGAGTCTGGCCAATGGGTATTGTTTGACAGGCACTGGATCAGATACCCAGAGTAAAATTCTCACTCTGTTACTACCTAGCTGTGTGACCCTGTGTATATCTTTAAATACTGAGAGCCTGACTTTTTTAATATCTGAGAGTCCCTATCTCATGGATGTAGCAAGGATTAAATTAGAAGAGATAATATTAAACAAAAAAACACTTAGTGCAGTTCCAAAACCATAGTTACTCAATAAATGAAACCCATTTGGTAACCAAGTTTTGGTGGATGGTGGATGCTCACCCTAGTTAGAACCTATGACTTCCAGCCTGATTCATTACATTGCTTGTGGCTGGCGGGCCTTAGTATTTTGGCCTCCTGCCTGCCTTGGTGGAGATTAACTTCCTTACTGGGTTATGTTGGCTGGAGCAGAAGTTCAAGGCACAAAGCTGAGCAGGCTGAGAATCCAGGACTGAGATTTTCCCCCCCACATATACATAAAAAAAATTATCTATTGGGGTCATCTTAGAACAAAAAAGGACAACACCAAACATGGTTCCAGCATCCTGTTTAGCATCCTCTTCAAAGCACTCTGCGTAAACCACCAGACCTCCCTTGAATATAGTGGGAGAAAGCTCCAGATGAGGACATTCCAGAAGTAGTATGCAAGGAAAGGGTCATCATTTTGATATGTAGATGTCATATGCCTAAAAAAAACAGCTCTTAAATAATCAAAAACACACCAAAGAGCAAGCAGTGAATTAGGGCTACACATGTAAAATGCCCTGGATCACGGCTACACTAAAATGTAAATGATTTTTTCGTCAATTATGATTCTAAGAGAGGAGTTTTATAAAAACGAAAGCTAGATTTTAAAAATACTTCTTGAGATTCAGCCATGTTAGGGAGGAAATAATTTTTCTTGAGACATTTCCATCAAGGATGACTTTGTTTTCTCTCTGCTGAATAAAAAAACCATCTACAACGCCAAACTATTAGAACAAGACTGATCCTGTTATGACAAATATCACTGCCTCAGCCAATGGTCCACTCATTGCACAATGTATTTAATAAACATTTCCAGAACCACCGATAATGGAAAAACTATGAATGCCATTTCCTGTTGAATGGTCTGGAGCAAGCCTAATGGGAGAACCACACATTCTGAGGGGGTCTCTGGTGTTGAACCTAATAGAGTGTTTATTCAAACCATCTCTAGGGATCATGGCTGGAAATGGGTAGGAGAGGAGGAACCAGAATCATGGAGAAGTCAAAATAGTTGCCAGGAAAACTACTTCAGATGTTAAAATAGAATGGTGAGGCAAGGACAGAAATTGGAAGCTAACACTCTTAGCATATATGAAACTAATGCATAAGTGGGAGAGAAATGGGAAGTCAGAACTGGAGCCAGGTAAATAAAGAGTACAGCATTGGACATCAACTGAAATCTATTTCCTGACATATATTGTTGGGAAAACCAAGCCTATTACTGCAACCTTTTACTTCCAATAATTGCAACTAACCTACAAATTTAAAACCAAAACAAGTATAAACCTGATATTGAAAATTGGGTATCTGTGGGCTGAGTCTAGTTGTGTTTCATTTGCAGAGCATTTTGAAAAATGAACTGGTTGTTACAATGTGGAACTTGTACCTTATATTTATCTCATTCCCCTTATACCTCATTCCCCTAGCCTTATACCTTTTATTTTCATGGGTAAATGATGGTGGCAGTAGGGGGGACTTCCACACTACAAGCTTTCTCATCTCCCTCCCTGATGGGTAGGAGGCTAGATCTGGTATTCATTGGTCCTCATTTCTTAATATCCAGCTCCTCATTCTATTAACAGTCTGAGAGCACTATGATCCCACTTCCCTTACAAGGAAGTTCTGCACACACGTTTCTTCTGGGGAGGGTGGTAATGAGAAAAGATAATTGGCTGCAGATTTAGCCTTGTTCTTCAATGAGTTTTATCAGAAATAATGTTGACATCCTGATCTCCATCTGTCTTATTCCTGTCTTACTCATTTCTCAATTGGCAATGTACTCAAGATAAGAGATGGCGTGTTATTATTAATTGGCTCCCATGAACTACAAGATGTTGCCAGCATTTTAAACATTGGGAAAATTTATATGAAGATCTAGGTTTCTGACTTTCATTAAAAAATGGAAAGTCTAGAAAGACTGGGACCATATTTACACACTAGAGGCCCGTGCATAAAATTTGTGCAGGGAGTAGGGTGGGGTGGGGGGAGGAGTATCCCTCAGCACCGCCTGCACCCTCTAGCAATCTGCAATCCGCAATCTGGAATCCCTTGGGTAGGGTCCCTAGGCCTGACCAGCACTTTCCTTTCCCCAGCCGCCGGCAGCTGGCCCTGCACTGCCACTGCCACTGCTTGCCATCTGTGTAGCGCTACCCGCCCTTCCCCACCATTAGTCCTCCCCCCGACCGCCACCAGTGACCTCCCTCTGTGGGCAACAGGCGTGGGGTGCGATTGCTTGGCTGGCCTGGGCCTCCCTCTATGGGGCGATTGTGGGGCGATGTTGGGGACCCCCAACACACCCACCTGGCTGACCTGGCGCCAGTGCATGTCATAGCGTGGTCATCAGAAGGTCGTCCAGATGGTCATTCTGCTGTTTGGTTGTTTGGTCAATTTGCATATTACACTTTTATTATTATAGATAGTCTCCATTGACTAAAGCTGAGTAATGGATGCCACCTCTAGATGGGGCATGAATATTACAATTGCAATACCCTGCACCACTCCATATTATATTACACTCAGGCATTTAATTTAGCCATCTTGTCTTGACATATAAGTTTGTATTTCCTACTATAATCATGTACATGTCTTTCAAAATGGTGATTTTTCTTCTACGTTAGAGGAATCATGATTGGATAGAATGATTAATAAAATTTTTAAAAAACATTGGTTTGGATGGTCCTATCATATAATAGGTTTGATTGCAAGCTAAGTACTGGTATTATGGCATTCTGGTTCCTGACCTAGAACAGCCATGATCTCTGCTCTTCACTCTACACACTTCCTGTACAATAAAGACTTAGGTCAACAAATATTTTTTTCTAATTTTAGTTAATACTACACCTGTTAGCTCAGAAAAGTCCTGGTTAAGCTCTATAGCAAAGAAAATCCTGCATCTCTGGCTTATATTTTATGTCTAGACATCATAAGGTTGTGTGTATCTGGCAAAAGCAGAGTAAAGGATTGGAAAAATTATTGAACTAGTTCAAGCAAAACACATGTCAAATGACCCAGGTAATTTCCAGAAGAGCAAATGTTTTCTCTGAATTAGAGAACTTGGATAATTGCCCCAACCACCTGTATTGCTTATGTCATGGAGCCTGAGACTGTGTTTTCACAACTAAAATAACCATAGTTGAAACAGCCATGGGGGCCTGTCTCAACTAAAATAAATAGTTGAACCAGCCATGGGGGCCTGTCTCAAAGAGAGAATTTTACTGTATCACTTATGGATTAAATTACCTTTAACACAATCAATTGTGGGGCCAGTAAAACATATTAA